ATATACGTATATATATATACATATATATACGTATATATATATACATATATATATACGTATATATATACATATATATATACATACATATATATACACATACATATATATACATACATATATACACATACATATATACACATACATATATACACATACATATATATACATACATATATATACATACATATATATATATACATATATACATACACATATATATATACATATATACATACACATATATATATATATATATACATACACATATATATATATATATACACATATATATATATACACATATATATATATACACATATATATACATACACATATATATATATACATACACATATATATATATACACATATATATATATACATACACATATATATATATACACACATATATATATATATATATACACATATATATATTATATATAATCATGAGTGGATAGGGAGGGATACATGTACACGACAGCATGTGGAAACACTGGTCTGTACCTGTCTGTCTATGTGATAATGTCCAAACTGAAAAGTTGAAAAGAAAAGTGGTTAAAGGAGCAGAAACAGATGAACATGTGAGAACAGAGCTGAACTAAACCGACGCCGAGGAGCCAAAAAAAAAAACACAAAAATAAAGGCTAGCCAGGCTCCCTGATTCTGCTAAGTGTGATCACTTCACTTTTTACAGTGTAGGTTTCCTACTGATGCATGTGACGACCATAATCAGTCACCCATGCCTCATGTTGATTATGTTTTTAGTCCCATAAGAGTAATAAAACTCAGATTACTATGAATTTAAAGCTAATTTTAAGGTTTTTCTCACCCCGAGTAGGAACAGCAGCCCAAACTAAATTATATTCACCGTCATTGTATTGGCCAAATAAAACCTGCATGGAAAGATGTCACTAAAGGAAAGTAAGAAAATGTGTTTTGTTAAATTTTTGTGCAATTTTAGGGGAAGTGACCCTTTAACGTTACGTTTCCATGGTTCAGGTTCTCAGTTCTTTTGTTTGTACCTTTAAGCATGTAAATACTGTTTAATGGTTCCTGATTGGTTATTTAAAAGAAGAATATTTTATATGTATACAGTTGGTGTTCACTATTGTTTTCAGCAGCATGAACATCACATTTACTTTAAAGCAATATTAAAGCGCAATAGTCAGCAGTATTCATCAGCCTATTAAATGACAACAGGAGGACAGTAAAGTGGAGATTTTCCTTTTACTGCTGAGCCAACAGAATATTTATTTAAATAGTCATGGAAGGAGAGTACGAGTATCTTTACATGTATTATATACACTTCTTATATGTGAAAGTAAAATAGGGCAACAAATAGCGATTGCTTTCATTGTCGATTAGCAAAAGGTATCTTTGCTTGACAAATATTTTTATTCATAATTACAGATGATCTTTTTGTCTGTTGACAAGGCTAATTGTTTAAATCATTTTATATTGTTAAATGTAGCGTATGCAAGGCGTATAGCCTGACATAAGAAGGACATTTACTGCTTGGATTTAAGGTAAATACGCTACTTTAGAGTATGAAACATCGTAAAAATATGTAGTTAGTTTTTTAATGTAAATGTAAACATTGGTTAACTATGGAGCAGGTAGACAAGGTGCGTAACTTCAGGCTAAAAAACATCAAAACATACTAGCTAGTTTTAAAATATAGGTGTAAATATTGGTTAATGAATATTAATTGTAAAAATTATACAGTACTACTGGGCTTTATATGAAAATGTAAAATGTAAATAAATAAATAAAGGTAATGAACCAGACACGTGCAGGTATTCTTAAATTCTAAGAGCCTATCACAGAGGAGCTGTCTGATGATGACACAACCGAACAGAACCACGAGACATTCCACACAACAGCTATTAACGTTTGAATCCAGGTGTGTAAACCGGACAGAACCGGATCCTACCGTTGGACCGGCGGACGATGTTCTCCAGGAACGTGTTCTGGGGGGCCACGAGACCCCGCCGTCCTCCCGCCATCCTCCTGCAGCGCGAGGAAGAGCTGCTTCCACACCGCTCACATATCTGATGCTGCACGAGCCCCGCGCGCTGTGGAGTAGGAGCCTTGCTCGCTTTCTCTCTCTCTCGCGCGCGCTTTCTCTCTCTCTCGCAGCAGGCTTGTTATTGGCAGATGGTTGCAGCACGAGCTCCGTGATGAGCCACGGTGAGGCTGGCTGTGATCGAGAGAGCATAGGACAGCGTGAGAGAGACAGGGGGAGAGAGAGAAAGAGAGAAGGAGAGAGAGAGAGAGAGGGAGAGAGAGACACACAGAAAGAGACAGAGAGAGAGAGACAGAGAGAGAGAGCATGTAAACATAATTTACATCACTCAAGTCGTTGTAATTAAAGGATCGCTTCACCCAAATCTCTAAACACATATGTGAATATTGATCCCTATAGTTGCAGCGGAACAACTGATTAAATAAAGACTTGTGTCAACAGACGCTTTCACAGGCGACGTCATCAAAACATTATGTGTTCGCATGTCGGTGAAGAAGAAGTTCAGCTGCAGGATTCCAGAAGAGTTGTCAAACTTTAAGCCTTGAATCACAACTGTTGACAGTATTAGAATGTCTGGTTGGACGTTCACGAGGACGCCTACATGTCGTCATAAGTGACGTTACGAAGCCTCGAGTTCTGCAATTTTGCCGTCGCCATCTTGGATTACGGCCGTCGCCATGTTGGTTTTTTTGCAACCGATGAACGGAAGTTATTATATTTGGAATGCGGAGGATTGACGTAGAGACGCAGCGACCTGTCAATCACAGTAAGCCCCGCCCTAAAGCATACTCGTTTGACTCTAAATGGACCGTCATTTACTAAATGAACATCATGCTGTATTGAAGAAGACTTGAAACTAGAGATTGAGACCATAAACTCATGTTTACAATGTTTACTGAGGTAATAAATCAAGTGAGAAGTAGAGTCATTTTCTCATAGACTCTCATAGGAGTCGCCCCCTGCTGGTCAGTAGAGATAATGCAGGTTTAAAGACACTCGGTAGAACCGGAGGATGCCGCCTACACTGGACTGATGTGAAAAATACTCACATTTATAGCGGCCATTTTGAAAGTCAATAAACTCACTATACTATGTTATCACGTCAACGTCAAATATCCTGACATAGACTCATCAGATTGATCAAAACAACAACCAAAACCAAGTTTATTTTTAAGGAAGAGGGGGAACTTGAACCAGAGTGAGGGGCCCCCGGTGTGGATGTTTGTAATGATATGATTAAAAGCTAATTGCACCATGAAGAGGGCCTGAAGGCGGATCCTTGCGTTTAAATCGTGCGTAGTCCTCAGTGCATTTGTATTTATTCAAATTAAAACTCCCACATATTCAACTGGAGGCAAACTAAAACTAAAATAAATAAGAGTACTAGTTAGATTCTGGTTAAAATATAATCTGTTGTGTGTAGTTATGAGGTGTCCACTGGGCCTGACGGGACCTTGAACGCATCAGTATTCAGAATCAATAAATGATGTCGACATAGGAACTATTTCTACTGAAGATTTAAAAGAAACTTTATGGACACTATTTTTACTACCAACTTTATTTTAAAACTATTGTGTTTTGTCTGTTTAAATGTTTGTTGTTTTTGTGTGTTGTCACTATTGTTGCTTTGATTGTTTATATAATGTGTAGGACCCCTTGAAAACCAGATGACCCCTCTTAAAGGGGCGTGTCCTAAATAAAGGATGCAGAACGATATTTTTGAGTTTTTCAAAGCGTGAATTTGAATCACTCCACTGAGGTGTTCCCGGTGGTGAACTGGTCTTTTAACTCGTGTATAATCTATAAAATACAAAAAATAAATGAGAATTATTTTTACAACTGTCTGCACTGCTTTAGTAACATGCATTTCACCAGTTATTGCTGTGTATATAATTGATCAGAAGTGAATCAAAATGAATGAAACTGAAATAATTGATCAGAGAGAGAGAAATAATGTCCCGACAGTAATAACTGTGTCGTCTCTGCAGGAGTGAGGTGTTGACTGGTGTGAGATTGTTGAGCGCTGTCTCCCCCTGCTGGTCATTAAGAGTCGGTACATAAACACCGACTGCTAAACGAGGAGAGAAAACAAAAACAACACGCTGAATTATCATCAACATGTAATCAGTTTACTTCACATTGTGTAATGATGTCATTATATTTACTTTGTGAATAACCTGTGACTTGTATTTATTTGAAATTATGATGTTTACGGTTTGATTTATATGTTATATTATTTATTGCAGATAAGTCAGACTCGCTTTTGCTTTTATTTATCTTAGTATAAGTTGTGTTGCCGTTTAATCTCTGTTTTGATTGGATTTTGTATTTATTTTAATTTTCTGTCAGTTTGTGTCGGCGGAGGGATCTGCTCCCGCAGAAGCCGCAGTAGAAGGAGTCGCACTGCCGCCAGAGGGTGCGTAAAAATCTTTCCGCTGTGGTGGTTAGACCCCATTAAGTAATCGCTTTAACTGAGCGGAAAAAATCTCCCTCGCAGCTGATTTTACATATTAACACTTTGATATATTTAGAGGAGACTCTGCTGTTGTTATCTACGAGGTCCTACAGCCCGAAGCGATTGTAAATAAAGCGGTGGGAACGAAGAGAAGAGCGCGACAGCGACACGGACGGAGCGGCGGCGAGTGAGCGAACAGCAGCGGAAAGATAAAAAACCTCCAGCTCCTGGTGACATTTTATATCCCGACACCGCGGCTGAAAACGGCGAATTTGAGCTTTAATATGCCGGGAATGATGGATAAAGGCTCGGAGTATTTAGGGAAAGGTCGATCAAACGGGACGAAGAGTCCGTCCAACGCTTCTAACGGGCATTTCTCTGACGAAAGCGGCAGCGACGACGAACACGGTGAGTATAGCCTCGAACAGCCTCTTGTCGCTCTCTCGTATGTGCGCGTTTTGAACGGGAACATTTTCGTATTTTTTTTTTTATTTTTTTTTTTTTAAAATCAAACTTCTCTTGTTTTTCATGCTGATGTTTTTCCCAGATGTGGGAATGCGGGTTGGAGCCGATTATCAGGCCAACATTCCAGAGTTCGAGCCCGGTGAGTTTTTACTGGTTTCTATCTGGAGTGACGGACGGGGGTAGCCTCGGTACATGTAGCCTTCAGTAACAGACTGTTCACTACACACACACGCGTGTACACAGCTTCGTGTAGACGCGTTCACACCATGACAGTCACTGACACTTGGTGTTAGTTTATGTTCTCCGTGTTGATGAATTGTTATTGACCGGAGAGAGAAACATGAACCGAGGCTACCTCATCTTCTCACTGACAACTTGTGACATTCAGGAATTTCTAATTAATGAAGCTTGATGGAGTTGGTTTGTTTACATTCTTCTTATTTATTTTCCCTCCACTTATATTAAATAATGTAATATATTCGTTGCTGCGGGCAAAATAATGCTAATCAAATAATAATAATAATTTAACAGTAACTACTTTTCAACAAGCAAGGTAATAAAGTCCTATATTTATATATAAATAGATAAACATAAATATGCCCGCAGCAACGAATA